GGGTGGAGCTGGGTGGGAGTCTGGCTCTCTCGGGCTGTTCCCTCAGCCCTATGTTCATTACAGCTCCAGCAACATTGGGGGTTGTGGAGGTGTCAGGGAACAGGAGTGGGGAAAGAGGAGACTGACCTGGACAGCCGCATTGGCCACTGCATCCTCTCCTCACCACCACACAGCACCTGCCCATCGCCCCGCCCATCCCCGGGAGACTTGCCTCAGAATCCTGCTTCGTGCAGTTCCAACTCTTGGCTTCTACCCACATGGTTTTGGGGAGTCTCCTTGTAGAGCCAGGGTGGGGTGGGATCTTCACAGTGAGGGGAGAGGATATACGTCCCCACGCACACCTCGTGTGGCTTATTTCCTGCATCATGTGCAGTGGTAGGAATTGATATTCCAAGAAATAGAACTGCAGATCTCAATCTGTGTGCAGAAGATACAAAGGAATGGGCTGGGAAGGTGGTTCAGTGGCAGAGTGCTTGCCTTGCATGCCTGAGGCCCTGGGTTCAATTCCTCAGCACTACATAAGCAAAAAGAAAAAAGCTGGAAGTGGCACTGTGGCTCAAGTGGTAGAGCGCTAACCTTGAGCTGAAAAGCTGAGAGACAGTGCCCAGGCTCAGGGTTCAGGCCCGAAGACCAGACCCCCCACCAAAAATACAAAGGAAGTGTTACTGGAAAGGGCCAGGTTTTGTTCCCACCCACAGTACCATTTCCTGTGCTCATTTCTCCTTTAGAGCCGCCGTGAATGCTCAGAGCACTGTTTGCTGGACTTCAAATCAGTGGTGTGCCCACCATCCCTGATTTAGTGAGAAGAGGAGCAGGCTCTGGACCCATGGCCGAGGGGTGTCCCTGTGGGACAAGACCTTGCCCTGTTAGAGGACCCCACTCCCCAATAGATGATCTCTGGTTTCCATCCTGGGATTTGAACTCAGAGCTTTGTACTTGCTGTGAGCCCCACCCCAGTCCTTTCCCAATCTCTTCCCAGAGACTCCCTGTCAACCATTTCCTTTTTCTTCCCACAGATGGAGGTGGCCAACTCGACACGGGTCCAGTACTTCGTCCTCCTGGGCCTCTCCACCTGGCCAGGTGTCAGAGCCGCCCTGTTCTTTGTCTTCCTCACCCTCTACCTGCTGACACTGCTGGAGAACGCGCTCATTGTCTACCTGGTCAGCACCCACAGCGAGCTCCGCAAGCCCATGTACTTCTTCCTGGCCAACCTCAGCTGCCTGGAGATGAGCTATGTGTCTGTCACCATGCCCACACTGCTGCTGGGGCTGTGGGCTGGGCCCTACCGCATCCCCTTCACCACCTGCATGACCCAGCTCTTCTTCTTCATCTCCCTCATCTGCACTGAGTGTACACTCCTGGCGTCCATGGCCTATGACCGCTATGTGGCCATCTGCCGGCCCCTGCACTACCCCCTGCTCATGCGGCCCCAGGTCTGCATGGCCTTGGCCACAGCCTCCTGGCTGGGGGCGCTAATGGTTTCTGTGGCCAAGACCACATGTATTGCCAGTCTGTCCTACTGTGGCCCCAACATCATCAACCACTTCTTCTGTGACGTCTCCCCGCTGCTCAACCTGTCCTGTACCCACGTCGCGCTCACAGAGCTGGTGGACTTCATCTCCGCCATCGTCATCCTTTGGGGGTCCCTTCTTGTCGCTGTGGCCTCCTACTTGGCCATCGGCAGGGCAGTGCTGCGCATGCCGTCGGCTGCTGCCCGGCGCAAGGCCTTCTCCACCTGTGCCTCGCACCTGGTGGTGGTGGGCATCTTCTACTCGGCCACCACCTTCATCTATGCCCGGCCCAGCCGCATCAAGTCCATGGACCTAAACAAGATGCTGTCAGTGATCTACACGGTGGCCACGCCCATGTGCAACCCCATCATCTACTGTCTGCGCAACAAGGAGGTGCAGTTCGTGTTCCATGCGACTCTGCGCAGGGCATTGGGTTAAAAGCCGGCTGAGGACCTCAGATAAGGACCTCTGATGACAGATACTGGGCTTTGGGCTCCATGTCTGAGCCACATCTCAGCCATCTGGGGTTCTGCTTTGCTCCTCCTACTTGTGTTTCTAGGTTGCTCGGGAGGAGGCACACAGGCTATGCACCCCCACCAGGATTGCAGGCTTGGTTCCCAGTATCAAACCTTTTATTAAGACATGATTCATATTCCACAGGTTTTCACCTGTTAAAATATCAAATTCAGTGACTTGGTTTTTTTTCCCAGTATGTTCACAGAGCTGTTCAACTGTCACCATGAGGAAATTCCAGACATTTCATGACACCCAGAAAAAAAATTAGAGGTTAAATTAGAGGTCATTCTAATAGGTTTCTTGTATCCCCAGACGTGAGAAAGGACTCTCCTCTCTTGTGCTGTAGGATTTCCCATTTGGACAATGGAAGAGTGACTTTGGCCACAATGTACTGTGCTCACAAACGAGTTGACTGACACCTCTTTGCACCAGTACTTGAAGACAATAAAATATAAAAATAAAGAATGTCCTGTTTGGGTGTTTGGTAGAGGTAGGATCACGCAGGCTGTGTGTGATGGGCTTCTTTGCAGGGCATGATATGTTCAGTTTTGTGCATTCTGTTATGTTTGTCAGGACATTATTGGTTTGTGTGCTTTTGTGTGAACTCAGAGCCTTGGCTCTGTCCCTAAGCTTTTGTGCCACAGATCCACTTCTGACCCTGCCTCCCACTGGTTAATTGGGGTGAAGTGTCTCATGGACTTTCCTCCCCTGGCTGGCCTCAAACCATGATCCTCAGGCCTCAGTCTCTGGAGTAGCTAGGATTACAGTTGTGCCCAGCACCTAGCAGCTTCATTTTTTTTTCTTCTTCTTTTTTTTAAAATAACCAAACCTTGTTGCGCTGTGAGGATGTTGGGGTCCCCAGGTGCTGTCATACACGGTTTCCTGGATGTGTGGACTACCCTGCAAAAGCAGCTGTGGGTGGAGATCTCAGTCATGCAGTATTTCCTCTGTGGAATGTGCATGCTTGTGTGTGTGTGTGTGCATGCGCACACACACACGTGTGCGTGCATGTGGACATATCTTCAGGATAAACTTCCAGATTTCATCAGACAGGTGCCCAGGAATTCAGAATGCCACAGCTTCCTGCATGTGCTAATGGTTACCCTTCTAAAACGTCCCCTGCTCCGCCCGCCCCACTGCCTAGCTCGGGTAGGAGCTTGTGCCAGACGTGTTTGAGCAACCGGTTAGGATCTGAGAGAGAAAGGCCAGAGCATGGAGGTGTGGGAGCTCTGCAGGCCTGAGGTGAGTCAGAGGCAGGGTGGGACCCCGAGCCCAAGAGTTCTGTACCACCTTCCTGCCCTCCTCCCCAGGTATGTGTGTGCGTGTGTGTGTGTGTGTGTGTGTGTGTGTGTGTGTGTGTGTGTGTAAGTTGTATTCATTCTATGCTATCTGTATTCACACTGTGCTACCTCTGTGAACTATACTGCATCTGCTCTGCATGCTCGGCATGAAGTCTGCATCTGCACAGTATGTTTCTCCAGCCGTCAGCTTTGCTCTGTACAGAGTGGATGAAGCCGTGCTCAAAGGTCAGGGATGCAAAGGGAGAAGAGGGAGTTGCCCACCACTCCCTCCTGCTCTCCTTAGCTGTCCATCTGCCTTGAGCACCTGGGAGTCTCTGGGGTCCCCCTGCCCCTTCCAAGTCCCCAGGCTACCACGGCCCCCACCCAGTTGCTGCTGCTACCCAGAACTCCTGGGAAATGCAGTGCTTGAGCAGTGGCAGCTCTGGAATCAGGGATCTGAAGTCAACCAGGAGCCGCGGCAACAGCATGGCTGAGGCGTCTCTTTATTTTATTTTATTTTTTTGGTAACACACTCCTTTCTCCGGCAGGGAACCTCTCATGACTCTGAAGAGGAACTGAAAATCCTTACAGTAGGATGACTGAGTCATTTCTAGCAGGTCATCCTCCAGAGTTCATTATAGTGCATGCATTCAACTACAAGACACCACACATGCCAGTCAGGGTTTCAATAGACAAAATATACTACATTCCCATGCTCTCCTTCCCTTCGCAGATGAGCACATCCCTCACCCTTGTTCTGTTTTCAAAGCTGCCAGCCGTCTGCCTTGACCCCCTCCTCCGAGCAAACCTGCCCAGCGCCTGCCCGTGTACACGTGTCATACAGTGCAGGCTCCCCACTCTCCCTTCCTCCCCGCCTTCCCCTGTGCCCATCCCTCCGTCTGCTTCACTTTCCATGTCAGTCCACGTAAATAATGATGCAGCTGGGTTTATACTAGCATATGTACACGCTCCTACATGTGTATATCTTTTGGGTCTAGCTTCCACACGAGAATGAACACACACAAGACTTGGTGTTTGGGTCTTGGCCTTGTCTCCCATGACATCTTTCAGTGGCATCCATCGGCTGTGATCTCATCTTTCCTGACAGCGGGTGCTCTTGTACCCTGCATGCACACACCATGGCGAGTCCACTCAACTCTGGGGACTCCATGGTGTGGAGGTAGCGGGCAGCACTGTTCTGGACACCTTATAGTTGTGATGATGTGTTTATTGTTGTGATGATGGGTTTATCATTGTGATGATGGGTTTATTGTTATGATAACTACCGCCGTTGTCTCACAAGAGCTCATCTCCCCATGTGTCCAGTCCCGTTGTGGGTTCTCTCTGTGCTAGGAGTCATGTTTGCCTTCCGTGGATACTTGACTAACTTCTCCAGTCATCTCCCCAAAGCAACATTGACCCCCAATGTTACAACTTTCCATCATTCGTTTTTGTGCCTCTGTGCTGGGCACACAGCCACGCACATGTACCAAACACATGGTGGTATGGGGGTCAAATGCCAGCTCTCTTTGCAGACTCCCCAGTGATAGAGGTGGACACTGCCTTGCTGGTCACTGGGAAGCTGCTGCCCCCTCTGGCCAGCTTCATCTCCCAGTGGAGGACTCCTGTCTTCTCATTCACAAGTCTCCATAGGGGGCATCTAGAATGTTCTCTGCTGTCCCTGGCTCCGGGCTCAGTGCCCAGAGGCCCCTCGCAGCGCTGCCTGGACTTCCCGGCTCCGCAGGCCGTAGACCACTGGGCTGCATGCAGGTGTGATCACTGCGTACAACACAGACAGCACCTTGCTGTGCTCTGCGGCCAACCTAGGGCCGGACCAGGAGTACACGAGGAGCACCACAGAGTAGAAGGTGCCCATGACAGTCAGGTGCGAGGCGCAGGTGGAGAAGGCCTTGCGCCAGGCAGTGGCCGATGGCATGTGCAGCACCGCTCTGCCGATGGCCACGTAGGAGGCCACGGCGACAAGAAGGGACCCCCAGAGGATGACAATGGCAGAGATGAAGTCCACCAGCTCTGCGAGTGCCACGTGGGTGCAGGACAGGTTGAGCAGCGGGGAGATGTCACAGAAGAAGTGGTTGAGGATGTTGGGGCCACAGTAGGACAAGCTGGCGATGCACATGGTCTTGATCACCGAGACCACTGGTGCCCCCAGCCAGGAGGCTGAGGCCAAGGCCATGCAGACCTGGGGCCGCATGAGCAGGGGGTAGTGCAGGGGTCGGCAGATGGCCACGTAGCGGTCGTAGGCCATGGATGCCAGGAGCAAGCACTTGGTGCAGATGAAGGCAATGAAGAAGTAGAGCTGGGTCATGCAGGTGGTGAAGGGGATGCGGTAGGGCCCAGCCCACAGCCCCAGCAGCAGTGTGGGCATGGTGACAGACACGTAGCTCATCTCCAGGCAGCTGAGGTTGGCCAGGAAGAAGTACATGGGCTTGCGGAGCTCGCTGTGGGTGCTGACCAGGTAGACAATGAGTGCATTCTCCAGCAGCGTCAGCAGGTAGAGGGTGAGGAAGACGAAGAACAGGACGGCTCTGACACCCGGCTGGGTGGACAGGCCCAGGAGGACGAAGTACTGGACCCGGGTTGAGTTGGCCAGCTCTGGGGACTTCTCCATCTGTGGGAGACAAAGGAAACGGTTGATAGGGCGGCGACTGGGAGTGTCCAGTCTCAGGTGATTGGGAAAGGACTGGGGTGCGGCTCACATGGGAGCGTGCCCACCCAGCTAGGGCAAGGCTGGGAGTTCAAATCCCAGGATGGAAAACCAGAGATGTTTTGGGGAGAGTGGGTTGAGTGACTGCAGCTCCCAGTGTTCCCAGAGGCTCTGCAGGAGAAATGAGCTCGGTCAATGGCTCTGTGGGCAGGAGCAGAACGTGGCCCTTTCCGGTTACTCTTCCTTTTCATCATCAGCCACAGACTGAGATCTGCAGTTTCATTTCTTGGAAAGGCAATTCCCACTCCCTGGATGCCATGGGGGAAAGGAGCCACATGAGGTGTGTGTGGGGACCGGAGGGAGGGGGGAGAGCGTGAGGGACGGGGCATTGTCCAAAAAGACACTGTGCCTGACCATGTGACTGAGCTCTGTGCATCACCTCTGCAATGACAACAGAAATGAGAAAAAATAGTAGCTCCTCCTCCTGCTCCTGCTCTTCCTCCTTCTTCCTCTCCTCCTCTTTCTTTCTCTTCCTCCTCCTCCCTCCTCTTTTCCTCTTTACTCTTCTTCCTCTTCCTCCTCCTCCTCCTCCCTCCTCTCTTCCTCCTCCTAATTTTTCCTCTCTTCCCTCCTCCCCCTCCTTCCTCTCCTCTTTCCTTCTCCTCTTTCTCCCCTTCCTCCTCCTCTCCTCCTCCCCTTCTTCCTCCCCCTTTTCCTCCTCTTTCCTCTCCGTCTCCTTTCTCCTCCTCCCTCCTCCTCCTCCTCTTCCTCTTCCTCCCCTCCTTCCTCTCCCCCTCCTGCCTCCTCTGCCTCCTCTCCTTTTTCTTCCTCTTCCTCCTTTCTCCTTCTCCTTATTTTCCTCTTCCTCTTCTTCCTCTTCCTCTTGCCCCACCTCCTCCTTTTCCTCCTCCTCTTTCGCCTCTTCATCCTTCCTCTCCTCCTTCTTATCCTTCTTCTCTTCCCCTCCTCCTCCTTCTCCTCCTCTTCCTCCTCCTCCAGGATTCTCCTCCTCCTCCTTCCTCCCCTTCTTCCTCCTCCTCTTCCTCCTCTTTCCTCTTCTTCCTTTTCCTCCTCCTTCCTCCTCCTCCCTCCTTTCTTCCTTCTCCTCCTCCTTCCTCTCTTCCCTCCTCCCCCTCCTCCTTCCTCTCCACCTTCCTTCTCCTCCTCCTCCCCTTCCTCCTCCTCTTCTCCTCCCCTTCTTCCTCCCCCTCTTCCTCCTCTTTCCTCTCCTTCTCCTTTCTCCTCCTCCCTTTCCTCTTCCTCCCCTCGTTCTTCCCCCTCCTCTTCCTTTTCCTCCTTTTCTTCCTCCTCTTCTCCTATTCTGCCTCCTCTCCCTTTTCCTCCTCTTCCTTTCTCCTTCTCCTTATCTTCCTCATCCTCCTCTTCCTCTTCTTCCTCTTCCTCTTGCCCCACCTCCTCCTCTTTCTCCTCCTCCTCTTCCTGCTCTTTCAGGATTATCCTCCCTCCTCCCCTTCTTCCTCCTCCTCTTTCCTCTCCTTCTCCTCCTCTTCCTCCTCCTCCTCCTCTTTCTCCTCTTCCTCCATCCCCTCTTTCTCTTCCCCTTCTTCCTTGCTTTTCTTCCTCCTCCATCCTTCATTACTCTCCTCCTCCTCCTACTTCCTCCTCCTCATTCCTACTCTTTCCTGTCCTTCTTTTCTCATCCTCCCCCTCTTCCTCCTCCTGCTCCTCCTCTACCTCCTCCTGTCTTCCAGGCAGGATCAGGGTTGGCTCCAGGACTCCATGCCTCCCAGGCAGCGGCTCATTATGCACACACGACCTTTTCCAAAAATGATTTTGGCTTCACTTTTTTGTTTCTTTGTTAGTGTTTCAGAGAAAATCAGAGAAGTTTCTATACTCTTTCCCCTCTAGCCGCTCGTGCAGACATGGTGGATGTGCTTCTCACGCCGGCTTGTTCGTGACCTGGGGTCTGCTGATGAGTCCCCAGGCTTCCACTGGGAGCCTCTGTCCCTGCCCAGGGTGGGACATCAGGCGAGAGCCTCTGTGCCTGAGCCCTTGTCACAGCTGTGTGTCACCCGACAGGAAACACGGCGGTGCTCCGGGAGGACAGAGGGCCCGACCCACGCAATGGCCGGCTGCAGCCCCACCTCCAGCAGAGCTCAGGAAAGTCCTTGTGTCACACGATCTGAGTCCCTGCCGGCATGTTCTGCCTGATCCCAGGGGCGTGCAGGAGGGACACTCAGAGAGGACATCGCTCATGTCTGTCTGTCTGCCTCTGTCTGTTTGTCTCTCTGCCTCCATCTCTCTCTCCCCCATGCCTTGCTTCCCCATCTCCCTCTCTCACCCTCTCCCCATTCCTCTCCCCTCACTGCGAAGATCCATCCCACCCTGGCTCTACAAGGATGATGCTGGGAGTCACACGCAGAGGTGACTCCCAAACCACAGGACCACCAAGCTGGGAAAGCTGAACAGAGTTTAGTGAGCTGGATATGATGCAAGCTGCCTGGGGCCGGCAGGGCAATGGGTAGGTGCTGTGGGGGGGGGCGGTGAGGAGAGGACGCAGCCAATGAGGCTGTTGGCATCAGTCTCCTCTTTCCCCACACTTGTTCCCTGGCACCTCCATCACCTCGGACGTTGCTGGAGAGAGCTAAAATGGACACGGGGCAAGGGGACCACCTGAGACCCAGGACTGGAGCCAGGCTCCCACCCAGCTCAACCTCCAACAGCCTAGACTCAGCCACCCGTGAAAGTACAGAGACAATGTGTGACCCACACTCCCCGAGTCTCATTCAGTCATAAAGACAGAATAATTCAGGTTCTCCTCAGGAGGAAGGCTGGGCCAGAGGCCACCATGTACAGTGCAGGGAACCAGACTCAGAGCATTCCAGACTCCCAGTGGTGGGTGCAGGGGGCACGCCTGCTCTCCAGCAAGAAGGGCAGAGGGATGGGAGGACCACAGCCTGGGCTGGCCCAGCAGGAAACACCACCCCATCTCAAACACAAAAACAGGGCTGTGCAACACCTCCCACAAAGGCCTGAAACCCAACACACACAAGGAGCTCAAGACACTGCCCTTTCTGAACCCAACACACCAATCACTAAATGGGCAGGGAACTAAGGAGAAACTTCTCAGAAGAAGAGGGGAAAATGGCACAGAAACACATGAGGAAATATTCTCCATCTCTGGGCATGAAGGAAATGCAAATCAAAACAGATTCCACCAGATTCCATCTCACCCGAGTTAAACTAAACAACATTATGACTTTGAACAAATGCTGGCAGGGAAGTGGAGAAAAGGAGCCCTTCTGTGCTGCTGGTGGGATTGTGAAATAGTACAGCCACTCAGGACAGCAGTCTGCAGGTTCCTCCAAATACTAAACACAGACCTTCCCTACCACCCAGCCATACCACTCCTGGGCATCTATCCTGAGCATCACGAGCCAGGATATG